ATTGAATAATGAAATATGTTTGACGGCCTTACCGGTTTGTTTGAAGACTACTTTATTGACTTTAACCTTCATGGGAAACTCTATTTGAATCAGACAATTACCTCGAAAAGAAAACTCTTGCGTTTCGCCGATATCGAATACGCTTTTAGGTTCTCCGTATGCGAGAGAACCCACTTTTATTTCTGCTTTGAATCCGTATTTGTTTGATTTATAAATTTGGTCTTTTCTATCGAAGACAATGTCACTTTCGAATGGAAGATTGAAATAATACGATTTGTCCGTGACAATAGCTTCTAATTTGGTCAACTTTCTCTCTTGTCTCAAAAAATCGTCATGAATTCTAGATACTAAAAGATTGACCTGTTCTTTAATATAATTTTTCATATCATCTCGAAATTTATTTTGAAGAAAGTTTTTAATCACACCCACTTCTTTTTCTAATTCGTCCGTGATTTTAGTATCCAAAGCAGTCAATTCTCGTTTCAACGTATCTTTGTCAATGGGAAGTGTGTTAATTATATCTTGAACATCTGATTTTTGCTTCGCGATCTTTTCGTTCAAATTGGATATCGAATTTTGTAACTCGGTTTTGTCCGCGGTCTTGTCTAGTTCTGCTAGCAATTCGCCAAGTTTTCTTTCCAAAGCGGTTAGTTTTCGTTTCAATCTATCCTCGTTTACATTTGGGTTGTCTATTAAATGTTGGACATCTATTTTTACGTTCGTAATCTTATCGTCTAATTTAGATATTAAATTTTGCAACTGACTTGTTTTATCCACTTGAATAAGACGTTTCAAACTCGTTAACTCTTGTTGTAGTTTGGGTTCGTCCACAAGATTTTTAATATTTCGTCTGGGTATCTGTTCACGTCATTTATTCTATTTTCAACATGGTCCTGATCTATTTGAATTGCGTTTATTTGATCCAGTAAATATTTCTTGTTCACGGCATCGTTATCGTTTCCTGGAAACTTTAAATTAGTTATTTTGAAATTGTTCATATCGATATCCCCTTGTAAGGTGTCTCCGATTTGATCCACGAAAAAAGGTTTCGCTTTGTTTATAAACGCCGTAGAACGGGATTTTTAGATTCTAGAGGTAAAGACCCTAATCCAAACTTGTTTATCTTCATTTTCGAGATTCATTTTTAAAAGTCAGTTTTTTGAAGTTCATTTTGATAAAACCTTCCTATTCTTTGTCTTGTTCTTTGTCTTGATCGATCAATTCATACGTGGGAGGCGATGTGTTGTTTACTTTATCAACGATGAATATCTCGTTAGTCCAATAGCCGACGTAACCTTTCTGAAACAATGATTTATATTTAAAAATACGAACTCGATCTCCAACTTTGAATTTGGGTTTAATATTCAAATTGCTAATCTCGTTTTCAAAGTTGTTTCGAGTGTTGACGGACTTTATGATATTCGGGTTATTAGAGGCTTGCGTTGGCGTCACACCTATAGACGAATGTATTTTGTTATTGTATTCGTCGACAACAACTGGTAATATTTTAAGCCATTTTTGAGATTTCAATTCCGTGAATTTCTTGAATAATTTGCTTTTAAGAGTCCTGTTGAATCTTTCTATCACTACGGCTTTACCTTCGTTATGCGTGCTGTAAATTTCAAACCCCAGAGATTTCACATTTCTGTTGTAGAATTCGCTTCCTTTATCAACCCACAACTTTAGGGGTCGTCTGTCGGATTGTTTCATTATGGTTTCGAATGCTTGTTTGACAGTCAGACCCGATTTGTTTTTCAAGGGAAAGACCCAAGCGTATCTCGTGTATATGTCGATCACCGTCAAACAATACTTGTACCCTCTCTCGACTGGCATGTTTATTAAATCGGCTGACCAAATTTAATCTTTATCAAAAACTTTGACTTTGAGGTAATGTTTGTTTTTTCGAAATTCTTTGTGAATCTCGTCTGCTATGCCCATACCCAATTTCAATTTTGCCTTCAAGAGTTTTATGATAAGAGCCCTCTGTAATTTCTCTTTGAAAGTGGGATTGGGAATATTTTCGAGTTCGTCTATCATTTGTTTGTCTGCTTGGTGTCTGAATGTTACGTCTTTGTTTCTGTACAGTATGTCGTGTTTGAGCGCTGCTGCGTCAACTCTATTAACGGGTTCTTCCCCTGGTTTGGGATTATCATTTTCGTCTAAACGCAGATCTAACCTAGTGCCTGGACCTGTATACTACTTTTACAACCTTGCAGGAAAGGCGTAGACGGCACAAACTTATAATGATGTACAATAATCTTACTCCACCTCAATTATCAGACCTTGTTGTAATAGATACTTGAAACCCAAACATCTATCAATTCTATATCCGCTTTCAAATCTTCTCTCAAAATCAATGACCAAACAGTACCATCATACTTTTATTTAGGAACTCGAAAAAATCAAATACTGCATTGCCGTTTGCGTCTTTCCTGTAGTGATCGAAATGGCCGACAAAGTTTTACGTCACGTTTCGGAACAACCTGCATGCGTTTGTGGTCACTATTTTGAAGACGCCGAGAATTACCTCATCCACTCCACGGCTCCTTACATTTGGATGCCCGAAACTTCCATCAAAACTTATAAATTTAGATATCTTGCTTAATGGATCTTATTCTCAGCTTGAGTCAGAAGAATTTTTAAAACTGTTCATAATTTCATTTCACTTTCAAAACGATTTTAAGTTATTATTTCTAAATTAGTTTTACTAGTATGATCGATATTATTATTATTATTATTATTATTATTATTATCATTTTTCCCTTTTAAAGCAGCCTCACTTTTTCCATAGATGTTTTTGAAATAATTGTTCATACGTTTGAGTTTACATATATATATATTTATTTACTTTTCTTATAAGTTATATTAAATTTGTAATGGAGAGGGGGTTATATAGGCATAAGCCTGTTCCCCCTTTAATGTATTAATAAAATATTGTTTATAAAAAAATATGTATAATAATTTTATAGTATAATGCGAAGGTAGTTGCTTAAAGCTGGGCGAAGCATTCGAACCACAATATAAAATTACTTTGACTTATTGACTTTCGAATATATGTCACTGTCGTATTCAGTGTGGATTTGTCTAGTTCGAAACCCTATGGACTCTAACCCCGCATCTTAGAACTATTCTGAACGCTATCAGCAAGAGTTTATGACAAGATTTCTTTATATTTCCTTCTCTAAGATGGAACAAACAAATGCCAGAGTTAATGTTATAGGAATTCCATTTCTTATTTTTATTTTTGCAAAATAGATGTGCCATTCAGTTGCTTTGATTTAAATTCTTCCTTCGAAACAAAAACAAAACCTGTAAAGGGTGCTAGGTTATTTGCGAAATTTCTTAAAATTAATGTCTTAAAATAAATGTCTTAATTAAATTAGGCAATTTTTAAACATATTATAGATAATTTTATGTGTTGCATACTAAATATGAGATTAAATTAAAACGTTATTCGAGTAGAATAAAATTGTATTTTCTTAATATCGCATTCAAATTAATATTTTGTAATTATTGTAGTTTGATGATTTATATATTATGGTTTGCATTTTCAATTCATATACTGTTTTTAGTTTTTCAATTTTTTAGAACACATTGAATCGAAAAGTGATCTGAATCGTATATAGAAAATAAATCATTAAAAGACGGGAACAGTTCAAAGGATGCCACAAAGTACTCCACTGTCCTTGACCCATTGTTTGAATGATCAGTAAAACACACATTTTGATCTTTAGTGAAACGCCCATTCACTATGTGTATACTGAATTTTTTGCATAGATTTATAAATTGGAGGTCAAAGTTGTTAACCTTATGATCGTTGGAACAAATTAAATCAAAGATGTCATTTGCATATATTACTTCCGATACGTGACCGAGGCTATCATTGCAATGAAATCTTGGTTGGACCATGATATGCAGTTGAGATCTCCAGCTAACGGAATGTCGGCATTGGGGAAATCACCTTCAATCCGAACCAGAATTTCACGAAACATAAATGAAAATAACAGAAAACACAAGGGAATATATCATGGCATAACACACTTCTTTAATAACAGAGTACATAGCTATTCAACACAATTTACACGTGTCTTCATAAGATGAAACGAAGGAGGGGGTAAACAAGAGAATACATAGCAAAAATACGGATACTAGTGAAAATAAGAATCGAGTCTTTTGGAAAACTGTCTAATAGAAATACCACAATGTCTTCATTCAATTTCAAAATCGATACAACCTTTTAGCAATAGAACAATATATGAAAAGCTTAAGATAGTAAACATGACATCTAAATGTGTAAATCTGAATCAATTATTTTAAAAGGGTATACAGTTTTTTTTTTAAAGTTTACATTATCAAAAACGTCGTAAACCATACTTCTAAATATTTTTAAATTAATGCTTTTTATATCTATGTATCTTCTTGATCAAACTGAATTTGTTTTAAAAGAGTTTATTGAAAACGGCATTTAAAAAATAACGGCTGGTTTTTTTTTTAGTTAAAACTTTCAGATGGGTTAAAGGGCACATTTCTCTAGATTTTGGTGTATAGTTTTCATAAATACGAGCAAAAACAATGTTTGACCTACGAAAAAAGCAGAATTTCCCTTCTTTCTCAGCCTAAAGCTGACACTAACACCTCACTCATGTGAAGAAATTGATTTGACCTTTGACTGATGAATATAAATCTTGAAGAGAAACTGACTCCTGGTTGGTTACATGATGTTATATTATAGACTAGCAGACCAATTGCTTCAGTATCTTTGTAACATATTCGGCTTCCATTAAATGTTTTTAAAGTACATTCTCCAAAGTAGCTCAACCTCATTTCAAAACCTTTCAGTCGATCAACGTTCACTGCAAAATAAAAGCCGAGTAAATCTATTACTGTACACAAGCATCAATAGGGCGTTTTCCAATCTTCTAAAGTGACATTAAAATGTTGGATGAAAGAAGCTTAAAACCAAATAAAACAAATACATGAAGACGATTACCGAAATTGATGCTGATTTGACAAACCCAGTCGCAAAGAGGCATCTGGTGCTTTTTGCCAAGTTTATGACAATAAAGCCTACATATATCGATGACATCACAGTCAAGTTCCAAATTGACCAAATTTGTTTTTTAAGGAATTGCCCTTGATTTATTGAAAGGGTGTAAAATATGATCTGTAGATCATTTTGACTACAGAATTGATTTGGATGAAATCTGAAATAAATGTGTAAATTGTCGAGATTTGTTGATGTGTGAATTTGATCAACTGTTTTGAGGTATTGTCCAGACATATAACATATCTTTTAAAATTGACAGGAGAGCAGTAAGATTATAATAATATGATGTATTTAGGTATTTGCTATTGATTTTAAAAACAAAAACTATTGAATAATCGACGTAAAACATGCTATAGAAAATGATCAGATACTAAAAGGACAGGTTCGCCATTTACGGGGGTTGAATTGGGTCTTTAATATTTGTAAATAATCTTTTTAAGTATTAGAAATGTACGAAAATTGCTGTTTGATATTCTAGTAATGTATTTGGTGAAATGTTAAACATCCATTGTTGGGCATAATTTGAATTTCAAGATTTGTCACCAAAGAAATTTTACTTGACAAATTATTGATTTAGAGAACGAATTTTGATTTTTATGAACTAAGAATCATTTTGTGAAACAAATGTCAAAAATGACCAACATATGAAGGAGTTGGAATTAAGCATTACGGACTAAGGATTAAGGATTTATATTGGGCTGTTCGGTCTTCCATAGTCATTAATTTATTTCCATTCAACAATAATTTAACTCTGTCCTGATATGAATATTTATTAAATCGGGGCTCGTTTAGTTTGGTTATTATTTTTATTTCCCGATTGACAGTTTTTCTCGACATTTTGAAACGTTCAAAGCAGAAATGATAGAAGTGCATCATTTGCCATGTGCGCACCTTGACCTAAATTATAGTTGCTGAATTGTAGGCCTACTCGTTTTACTGATTAGCTTAGTTACAGAATTCCACTTTCTGTAACTAAGGCACGCTCGGTCAAAATGGTACACCTATTCCTTTAATAAATACTTTTGAACTACAGATGTACGGAAGATCTTGAATATGAGAACATTCATGTTGTAGTCACTACAGACTCGATTCTGATACGTGGGCGTATGTTACCTTGCCTGGTAGTTTTCCGATATACTCACTCTGTGTTGTTTCTTTCCTGTTATTTATAACCACAGATCCAAAATTGTATGTTTTCAACAGGTCAACACACCACCATTCCAGGTCAGAATTTAGGGTATGAATATGGCCTTCGAAATTCCCGTTATTTGCCTTACAAGATGCTTCGCCTTCATATATGCTGCTCATTGCGGTTGGTTTATTGAGAGCAATGTTATCTTCAAAAGAACCTGGAAAATACCATTATATCATGTAGAAACATGTAAGATGGGTTACTATATTCTGAGCTAATAATGTATCTCATTGGATATATAACTGTTTAAGAAGTTAATTATATACATCCTGGGCATAGGTAATCAATTGAGAAATGTACACGTGTACACGTTTTTATGCGAAAGAGAATGACTTCTAATAGGGGATCTAGATCGAGATCTCTTCCTTTTAGGAATGGTATAGGCCTGTAAGGAGGATAAATTAGAATCTTTATCCGAAGACATTTTACCCATATTCTGCCAGGCAGTCCCCATTGAGGCAATGGACTGAGACATATTGTTCATTGTGTCCTGTAATGACATTAGGAAGTCAACCGGTAGAGCAGCTGTAGCAAGGGAAGAAGCTTGAGAACCTGGAACAGGTAAGGGAGATGTCACCGGAGGTGATTGGATATCATCTTCTTCATAAAGAATATCATCTTCTTCCATTCTCTCAACCTTCGACTTCGAGGTAGAGACGGCCATATTGAAAAAACTCTGACCCTAATACTCGTGAAGGATTCACATAAAAAAGTTAAAATCAGCGATAATTGGGACAATTATTTACGCTGAAAGATCTAAATAACAGTCACAAGTTAGGAAAAAACTTTAGAGAGCTAAAAGATCTAATCGATAAGTTTTGAAACTTATAAAAAACGTAATTTCTGTGGAACACAGAAAAAACTACATCGACACTAAAAGATACGATGCGGAAAATTGACATACAAGGACGCATGCGCATCTCACATGATTTTGTAGTCCAGAACATATGTGGTAGTAGAATTAACAATGTGTCCTTGTTCTTCGAAAAGCTTTTGATTTCAAGCTTATAAACTCTGTTCGTGACGAATTTCATCTTCATAATATCAAGATATTAGACCTTTGATTCACTATCCCACAGTACAACCAAATCGCTGCAAACTTCTGTAATACTAGAATAGTGGTGGCTAAATGTGTCCACATATTAGAGGTAGCTCGTACTATCATGACATTGTGAAGATGGTCGGTTTGTAGCTTATATTTACTTGTTACCTACCAACCCAAGATATTCTGAAAGAAGTATTATATGAAAAAAGTTTGAATATTGTAAAATGGTTTTACTAAAACAAAGCTGCTTGTGACCTTGTCTGGCAATCTATCTTTCCCACATCAAATTAGAAGCGTATATTCTTGTTCTTCGGTCCGTCCGTACACAGTTGCTAGTAAAAACTTTAGAAGGCACAATATTTTTGACAGATTTTGATGAAACTAGGTGAAATTGTTTATCAGCATCCAAGGGTGGGTTATTTCCCTCGTTTTTAGAAAAACGTTCGGACTTCTCACAATTCAGGATGGATTTTAAGTAAACTTGGACAATTATCACCGAATAATGAAATTTATCGAAATCAACTTATTCAAAATTATTGAATAATCATTACTCTTCAGCGTTATAATTCTGTTTTGTAAACAATGTATTAGAATTCTGGAGGGATTTAAATGAAACTTGGTAAATTTGTTTATAATTAACCAGGAAAGATCCAGGAAAATATATAATGCCCTTGTTCTTCTTAAAGCGTTTAATTTATAGCTTGGATGTTAAGTCACAGTTCATTACAGATTTGGATGAAACATGGTAAAACAAATGATCTCGAATGACGTAACTTCCATACATTTACAAAGCTACCAGCTATGTGAACTCTCCGAAAAGACCGCCAAGACATTCATTTCACCAACTAATTTTTGCCTATTTTGACAATTTTGTGTATTTCATTTCCATTACTTAAGTTATAAATGCAAAGCTTACCTTGGGGTAAAAACATAACAAGACCTACATCTATTAAAGGAGAATGACAAGCTGGGAATCTGTCATACAAGTAACACATTTTTCTCGATTCATGATAAGCTACTCCTAATCACGCCTTAATTATTACACAGGTTAACGCACATTGTATATGTCCATTACTTTCAGCTTTGTGATAATACCCAGGTAAACGTAAATCTTTATGATACAAGGCGAAAAGTGAGGAGAATCCATAGGTTTCATAAATACGTAGAATAATGAGAAATATAAATATCAGATTTGTCATTTTCATTTTCTGTCCGAATGTCAATGATATTCACTTTATAAGGAAATTAGCAATATCTGGACATATAATCATAATGATTGAAATGTCATAGTAATGGAAGGGAACTAAATTATTTATCTATAATTATATATTTACGCTTGAGGAAACAATGGAACATAATGTGTTCTAGAGAAGATGCATTTTCTATTTCGAGAAAGTAAGATAAGTGTAATAAATAATTTACATGTTGGTTGAAGTATAGCTTTAATAAATACAACAATTAAACAATACTCATATTACCTATGTGGACCCAGTCGTAGAATGGCATCAGGTATTCCGGAAGGGTGCTCAAATCCATAAAGTCTTTGAATAAAAGCTTAAAGCTTATAATACGAAGAATGATCTCGAGGACATTATGGTCTATCAGTTTAAGATATCGGCTTATTAGTATGTAATTAATATAGCAAGTAAACAATATTATTAACGTGGTCTCTCCGAAGGTTAAGTCGAGTTGACAAATCCAGTCGCAACGTGGAAATAAAGGTTGCGATTGTGCCTGTGATTAACTAATAATGGTTAATACAGATTGTGAAGATTGTTTTCTAATTGTCATGTGTAAGGGAAACAGGGGCCTGCTTTTACAGTTTGCAATGGAAATGATTATATTAATTCCAGATGGTTTTTAAGGGGCACAAATAGATTAATGCAAGCCAATGTTGTTGCAATTGTATGGATTCACTCAATCAATAGAATCAAATGTACATCAAGACATACCAAACAGAAATAGTCATCTTTATCAGAAGAGTCAATTATTTCTCCACCCTTCTTATTCCGATTCCCCTTGAATGACTTCGATTGGTATTAGGCTTTCTGAATCTTGTCGAAAGTTAATCTTTCTCATTGTGATGCGGTAGATATGTTTGTTTCAGCATCTTTCTAGGTTCAGGCGAGTCGGTTTCGAATTGCTGTTATATAAAGTATGACTTTGGATACGGTTTCTATATTCCCGGTGGATTGGGGATTGGCTTGGCTTTACAAGTATTGCTTCAAAGGTCCAAATACTTATCGGCTCATAGGTAGCAGTTTATAGTAGCAAACTTCATTCGCTGTAGAATAATAGGGTACTAAAATGGCCAAGTCGTAGATATCTTCACTGGACGCTGGAGGATGAACCTTACATGTTTCACAAAGTATTTGAGAAAAGTAACGAAAGTTTCTGCTACCATCCATCTAGATGGATAATGCCTTCCCCAAAGGCCTTTGATGGAATGGAATTTATTGACTGCGCAAAGTGTGATTAAAGTACCCCTCTGACATGAACTATTAATACTGTTGATCAACATTTCCAATACTTCTGAAGATTATTTACATTTAATACCCGGTTGATTAACATTTCTTATATCAGTTGATTCTCTCTGACCAAGTTTTGGTTGTTTTGTAATAAATTAGCGATCAGTCTTGTCCAGCACATTCATAACCAACCCCAGACGGTGAAATTATGATTACTTTTTTGGTGATAACCCAAAATAAATATTTGCAGCTCCTTGTATATAACTACCAATGTGAATTTCATTAAACTGAGAATAGGTTTAACAATGTTTGGTATAAACACAAGTCAATATCTCGTCAATTATTTGGCTTTTGCTCACTTAGCGCACGAGAGTAACGTTACATTTTAAAAATCCTTCATTAACATAACGTTAACATATATTTTCAGATATGATATGATATTATACCACAAGCGTGCCAACATCGGGCCTACTACGTTTTCAAATGAACGTAAAATTTAAGTTCTCAAGAATTGTCAATATGAGTATATATTCATCAGTGAACTTTCCTGGTGTCATAAAGTTACAACAAATTCCCTGTAAAATCTGGAAAATTCATAAAACTAAGTAAAAGCTTAATCTTGATATTAAGCGTTTTTCAATAGTTAATTGCATATTTATGGATAATTCTAAGTTTTTTTGGCTATATCGGATTATATAAGGATCCTATTATATTTTTTATGACACCAGGTATATCTACTGATGAATACATGCTCTTAATGGCCAAGTTCAAAATTCTTGAATTTTATGTTCATTCTAAGACGTAGTATCACTTTAAGGACACAACTTAATTTGTAAATAAAATCAAACACCTTACAGTTCCTCCTAATGCAATCTTGATTTACATCGATGTGTCGTCTATGTACACTAATACTATAATAATGCAGGGTTAATGGCAGTCCGTAAAACGTTTGAAACACACCCGGCCACAAACAGACCCGATGAGGAAATTCTACAGCTCCTGAAGATTTGCCTATTTAAATGATATTTAAATGATTTTACATTTAATGGTAAAACATATCCGCACGCTTCAGGGAGTGCTATGGGCAAGCGTTTCGCTCCTTCATATGCACACCTTTTTCACTCATTTTACACTTGTTCAAATTGCATTCCGTTTTGGTGACTTTACAATTGAAATAAACACATTTAAATACCAAGATTTTCGAGTGAAAAGAACTAGAACTTCAGTTCTGAAAATTCTACTCTGGAAGGTCTCAAACTAATAATTTTGTACTGTGCATTTCCAAACTTCATCCTGATGTTATCGGCGGAATCTGAGAAATAATTTTGTACCATGCATTTCCACACTTCAGAATCTGACAGTTGAATATTCTATGCAAGGCACGTCAACATTAGTTTTCAAAATTGTATCAAATCATATTGATATAAAGGTGTAAATATTACGAAGTATCGAATTCGCTGCCGGGCTCTATGAATAATGTGATTTAATTCTTAAGCGATTAGTATTTGTTCTTTTCAACTTTTTTTTTGCATAAAATATTCAAGGCTTATTTTACGATCTAACTTTTTCAAATTATTGTGAATAACCATGCGATAAATACAGACACATCGACATCAATATTAATTTGTAAATAACACAATTAATAAATATGTCACGTCGTAACTGTCCTTGGCACATTTATTGCACGAGTTCAGGTCAAACCCTTATTTCAATACCTGCCTGCAACTCTAGGTTTCAACACTTTATTTTAGTGAGCAATAGACTAGCTGTCCGTAGTGAGTTTTATTGGCGTCTGCGAGGCGATTAGGCGTCGTTGGTTCAGTTGCGCATCAAAGTAAGAAATATTCCGATTTCGAGGCCAGTGCGTCAGAAAGTCGACCTTGTTTCGGCTTTTACACGACAACCAATAACGAAGACTTCACTGATTTGAATTAAACTTGGTATGCGCATGTACTATTTTATCTAGTATGTTCAGATCTCAAATGAGTTCATAGGTGGCAATGTATTCGTGAAAGTCATTTTTTTTTTAAATTTAGAACCCTTGACTTGGTGACAACAAGTTGAAATTTAATTGTTATGGTGGTTGCAATCGAAGCTGTTGACTCGTTAGTCGTGGGCTTATATGACCTTGAACGCAAGCTATACTTACGG